AACAACGATCACGGAGCAGCTTCACGCCCTCCAGCCCGGGCCCGGGCATCACACCGTGTCCTGCTGCGATTTTACACTTTCAAGGACATTTTCATTTGCAGGGAGGTTAGGAGCAGAGCGACTTCAGCACTCTTCGGCCACTTCCCAAAGAAACGGTATAATTGTTTTACTATTGAAATTGGAGGAAGAGGCTGGGAGACTCGTGCTCTGCCTCTCCTGACGCCGATGCCGGGAGGGACCTGCACGGGCTGGCCATGATTTGGGGTTTCCCTGACCTTTTCCCAGCATCTGCGTAAGTTGGGAGGATGAAACCTTCCAAACTACCGTGACATTTAGAAACCAAACCTCTGCCATCAATACATAAACTTGAGGATTTCTCTGTGCCACCCGGAATAAAAAACTCCGAGTCTTGACTAACCAGCCCGGCTTGGCTCACCCGCCCGGCCGAGCATCACGAGCATCCTTCAGGTATCGCTGCAGATTTATTTGCTGCATAAAACCCCTGCTCGCGCCCAGCGTGGCAGCGACGCCTTTGAAGCACCGGGTGCTGCACGCAGCGCGGGGGGCTCCAGGGAAGGGGTTAACGGGTGGGCAGAGGCAGAGCTGGGGAGTTGCTAGGAGACTTGGGGCTTTAGGATGCTGGATGTGATGCTCAGCCAATGGAGGAGTCCTCTGATGAGTAAATCTGCTAATTTGGGTTTCATTGATTGCTGGGGGTTAGGGGTGGATGTGGGTACGGCTGAGCAGGGCTGACCCTCTTCCTCCCAGCCCTGGACCGATGCTTTCCCGTCCTGCTCCTGCAGTTTCAATTAAACTGCTGAATTCATCTCTTGCAATAAACTCGGCCGCTATTGCAGTTTGCGTTGGGATTCATAATCACTTTTCCTGCAAATATAACAATTAAACAGAGAGCTCTTGGTAGCTCAGGAGGGAAAGCCGGGGCTCCCCCAGGCTGCTGGCTGGGATCGGGGTGCCCGGCCCCTCGCCGGGGTTAGTTTTTACCAGCCAAAAGCCCTTTTGGGGGGCTGCTGATAGCGAGGGAGCTGGGGGAGGCACCGCCGCCTCCCGCTCACCTGCATATGCTTCTCCAGATGGCCCAGACTGCTGCTCTTCATGCGGGAAAAGGTTTTAAATTAAAATCTTCCCTGTGTTTTTTGGAGGATTTTTGGCCAGATTCCCCCCCCCCCGCCTCGCTTTCCGGAGCTCCGGCCCATTTGCCATCATTAAGTATAGAAGGAGTGGCAGCGCGGTGGAGCGGGGCGGGGGGGCACAAGGGGGGGCT